ATAGCCTGGCTTATATATTATGTATAATTACTAAAACTATATAATAAAATTATATAGTTAATTATAATTTGGATTAGGAGTTAGGGAAAGAGAATGGGATCTTATATATAGGCGTTTTAGCTTTATAAACTCTTATAACTCGTTATAGCTCTATATGCAATTTATTATATGCAACGAAAAATACCAAATATGTGCATTAAAAAAAAATTTACTGATTTATTGAAGTTTTTAATTTATATTTACATTATTACAAGTGTTCAAGAAAAAATGCTAGAAGTCTTTAAACCTCTTTATCTATAAATATTATACCTACACCGACAACATGCATATAGGTACATAGATGCATTGATAAATTAATTAACCTAAATGTATACATGCGTGTAAGTTTGTATGTATTTATGTTGTAATATGGATATAATTTATATGGTTGTACTGCAGTATGCTAATATATATATTGGTATATTATTATTTATTATTATATAAATGCTCGGGTCGATTGTATTATATGATACGTAATACAATTTATAAAATTCTATTTAAAGAATAAACGCTGTTCTATAATTAGTCTTTTTAATTACTATTCCTCCTTTATATACCTAGTACTCATATCTATATACTAACCGTACCATCAACCATCATAAACACAGTTTCTGTGCAGGTGAAATTGAAACTGTATTTTTCGATTAAGTTTATTAAATTTCAAATAAGAGTATACAACAAACCAACAAAATTACATCGATATTGGGTACATTTATGGTTAACGCCTATTAAGGTGTCAACATCAAAATAATAAGCTTATTATAAAACTTTTAATTCTTTTTTAGCTCAATTTTAAGTCTTGCGTAAAACTGTATAGGTATAGTTAAGTTTAATAAAATAACCTAAATCTAAAGGAACAATAATAATTCGATTTGAGTTGGTTGAAAATATTCATTACTACTTATCCCTAATGATATTTGATATACAAACCTAAAATAGGTGAAATTTATTCAACTGCCAAAAATATTAATATACATAATAATAATAATAATAATATATTTTATTATTAACTATACGAATTACAATATTAATTAATAATTTATACGAAAAGAGATTTAAAATATGTATTTAAATATCGTCCACATCATTGTCCGTCTTTCTAATTAAAATAAGAACAGTCGTGTAACAAATTAAATGCACTACAGAAAAGTGTATTTAGAAAGATTTATAATTTTGATATATCTAAACAGTGATAAGATGTTGTTAAACTTTAGATTTGCTTTGAGCAGTTTTTGAATTCTGGGAATGCTAAATTGAATTTCAACTTGAACTTAAACTTGAACTTCAATTTTAATTTCAATTTCATGTGTTTGTAGAATATTACGCTAATAAACTTTTTTTTTTAATTCCAATAGGTAATAAAATTTTTTGAACCATGTAATAAATTCATAAAAAAAATTAAAAATCATTGTAGATGGTCCTTGACCTTAAACCATTTTTTTGATTTCACTTAAATCGATTTATGAAGAACTTTTTGTTAAATTTTCTGTAGTATTTTGGCCAAATGAAATTTTTTTATCGAAAATTATTGAATCAAAACTTAAAAATGCAAATGTGATGTCTATAAATATTCCAAAAAGATTCATATAATATCATTGATTATAAAATATACTATAGTATTCAATGATAATATTGTACATAATTATATGAATTTATACCATTTATAAAAAATGCTATTATAAACATTTGGTGAAAATGTCAAGCATCTTCAGTTATTCGTTTTTAAATTAAAAACAAAATATGAAAATTCATTTGGGCAAGAACTGCAGGTATTGCGTACAAATCCAGTTTTTCCTCAATTGTTTTTTGTTTTTTTCCAATAATTTAGAAATGTACAGAGAATTGTTTATTTTTGATTCTTAAAGGTAAGTTCTAACTAGATTCACTAACCTAACAAAAAGTCAAAAGATATTTAAAATGAAATCAAGTCACTGACCGTATTTAAAGAATTTCTAATACATTACTAATCATTATACAAGTAATTCAAATGTATTTGTTTTTGTACATTTGGTACATTGGTGTCTGATTATTTGCACACGTGTCTGGCTCTATGCATCAATTTTCAAGTATTTTGCAAAAGATGCAACCACGGTTGTAGTAAGTGTTAAGTTACTAGTTTCCTTTTCCTATATATCTTACCAAACAATAATAGTTATAAATCATTTCTCCAAAGTTGTTAAATTTATTTCAAATAAGTAGAAAATAAATATCGTAAAGATGTAAGGCTATTTTAGCCACTAATTTGGTAAGAAAGTGCTCTCAGGTTGACGATACGCGATAAACTTAAGTTGCTGATTTATGCTAATGTGAAAATAATAATAACCCAACGGAAAATCGGTTTGTCGCGTGTGCTTATTGCCGTAGCGTACTATAGCGTTCGAGGTAGGAGAGAGGTCGACAACCCGCGGTCGTGGCCCGTTTTTTTGTTTGTCCCGGCGCGAAAATAATATTATTATTTTTAGATACAACCCAGTGGCGTTAATATGTATGTATAGATCATACTTGTGCCGTGTATAATACATAAGACACACATGAACTCTGCTGCTGCTAATGCGTCAACCAAAATGGTCACATCGTTGTCATTTGTTATTTTTCTTCTGTCCCTTCTGCAGTGTCTCACGCACTAGTGTCATGCATCAAGATCATTTCATTTTTGTATCTAACGAAAATACTTATTTATACGAAATTGTTGCAAATTACTAAAATAGTAATTGTTTTAAGACTGTGTATAACATACTGTACTAATGTGCACGATGGAGTATTGGAGTACTTACTATAGTGATACATGTCCACATACTAATAAGTCTTAGATCAAGATGTGATTTAAACGTGGTGTAACCGTGTAGACATTTCAAAATCGATTGCAGCACTTTTTAAAATGTTAATTAACTCCAACAATGGGAATTTTGATCAAACTAAGGTTTAAATGAGACCAGTCTGGCACAGTAAAAACAACATTTTTAACTCATCTTATGCAATTTGTAACAATATCGACATATTGTTAATTATTGGAATATATAGTTTCCGCTTTTATCATACTGAAGATAGTGATGTTCGGCTGACATGACGTTGTATAAACACCATAAGAAAATATTCATATTTGTGGTAATACTTGCATAGTATACCTACACATTACTGGCTGTGCAGTGTTATTTTTAAATTTGTTTTACTGTTTATTTATATTGTTATGTCTGTCATCAACCATCCCTTTTGCAGCAGTAAAAATGCTTTAATCTTTAACTTTGAGTGATGTTTCTGGTAACAAATTGAATAAAATTAAAAAATGGTAATTCTGGTTATAGTTCCTAAATAATTAACCATAGGTATGCTATACATTATTTACCAATTAGTTGAATCAGCATTATTTAGGTATGATATAAATTTAAAAATATTTGGGACAATTTTGTGCTATTTATAGAAATTTGAAATTTTATACTTTTAAATTTTTTTTACAATGATTTGGGTTTTTGTGTATGCATGTGTTTGTGTATACATAAATAAGTACTAAGTACATATTATAGAAAAAAATGTTTCGATTTTAAACTCTGAAGGTGGTTTCTGAATTTCTGATAGAATAATGGAACTAGATGGTAAAACTTTTGAGAGTTAAAAATGAAAAATTCCATGTATTTTTCAATATAATCGGGAAAAAGAAAACAAAATAGAAGGGGAATATAAATTTTTAATTACAGAATAATTTGCAAAATTTTCGAGATTTCAAGATTTAGATGAATTTTGTCAAAATTAATATTTTTTAACGGCTATTATTATTAAAACCTATGATGAATCTTGTATTAAGAGGAACCTACATGTGTTTGTCCCGTCTTACATACATACTACACACGATTAAAATGGTTTTCCCGATGCTTTTGAATACTACATTTTTTATTTTTGACCCCCCAAGTTTCAAAGTACCAACTTTTTATTTTCTCTCCTTTGGTACCGACAGGACTGCTTGAAAATTACTTTGAGAGCGCCACGGTTATTTATTAATAAACAATTAATGCATACAACAATTATTTTTAATGACTAGGTATTTACATATTAACAATTTACAATACTCCCTTCCTTCAAAGTAGCGATCATTAGTATACATGTTGTATGAATGTCAACAAAGTACCAACTTGATTCACTTACCTACCATGTTGAAGTAGAAAATCGAAGCATTTTTACATCATCCCGAAAGATGATTGCTGAAAAAAAAAACACATTATTGTAAAATCCACACATTCATCGCTTCGCTCAGATTCTAAAAATAAGGAAAAACTGAAATTTTTTAGCAAAATCAATAGGGGATTTTTTGGCGTAACTCGAAAAAAAAATAACCGTAGGTACTTGAAATTTTCACCAAACTTTGTGTTATACAATTTTTTTATTATTTAAGCTCTTTTTGAGTTAAAAATGTTCCATTTTTATAGTTTAGGTTTGAACATTTAACAAAAAGATTCTGATAAGTATAGTTACTGAAATATATATAATATATACATACATACTGAAATATTAATACACATAAAATATGAGCCTTTATCAAGTGAAGCGTTCAAGCGTTTAATTTTCGTTACAGATATCTTCACGACTGCGTGATTTACGTGTTGATGAGATTTTTTTTGATGTCTCGCAGTTTAAAAAATGTGCTTCGTACTCTCGCACACTTATTATACATTGTACATTTTATGGAATTATCATCATCATAACAATAAAATATTATAATATGTACCACCGTACTGCACAAGTATAATAATAACGCTGGCGATTGAGCGCGGCGCCCATGTGTGCGTACCGCGTAAGCGACGCGCACACCGACTATCGGCGGCTTCCGCAATCGTTTCATTGTTGTTCGCTTTCTTTTCGTACGTCGACCACACCGCCGCGACCGCCGCGCCCGTCGTCACGTCCTCACCGCCACCGCACCCGTCGGCCGCTTCCCACACCCGATCGCTGATCAGTCGCCGCCGTCGTCAGTCGAGTGGAGTGAATCGCACCGTGCGGACCGACGTCGTCGTTCGCGTGCCACGTACACACACATACATACATACACGCGTGCGCGCGCACCACACACTGTCATCCGCGAAAATCCAACGCCCGCCGCCGCCGCGATAGTGAATCAGTGAAACATCGGTGATCAGTCGCCGCACGGGTCAGTGTTTTAGGTTTTTATCGTCGAATTTCTTTCGTTAAAGATTTTTACGCACGCGATCGTGTCGTGGACCGTCGTCCCACTCGGTGTCGATCGTTTTACCGTCGAAAAAATTTTAATTTTAAAAAATAATTGCGCGCGCTCGAATTCGCCCGTCTCCGTTTTCTTGTCCGCGCTCGTCCCCGTGTGTTCGTGTGCGAAATAATTTCGGTCGCGTCGCGCTCGTGGTTTTTCCTTTCGACCGCCACCAAGGTATAATATTAATCGCTTTACTTACCTGCCTACCGTCCGTTTCGAAAGTGTCGGTAACGGCGATATCCTGTCGGGAACTCGATCGTCAGCATTTTCGAATTAAATTCATATTCGTCCAGCTGATGTCTGCCGACTCGACTTCACTCCTGCCGGTGAGTGACGACCAAATTATAATCTATTTTTTTTTATTTTATAATTTCGTCATTATTTGTTATTGATATTGTGGTGTTATAGGTACCCTTATTACCTCCTTACATCGTTATTTAAATTTTGTAATTTTATAATTGTTTGTTAATTGTTGTTACTTGTTGATATAGGCAGGCAAGAATTATACTAGGTTAACTAGGTTATGCCTGAAACAATGCATTACTATTGCCACGCGGGAGTATTATGTTTTTATTTATTGAGTTTTTCGCAGCAGCGTTTTTTCTTGTCGTTTTTGTTTTCGCGCTGCCTTCTGAACAAGTAGACCGTGCCCACCAAAAAAATAATACCTGGTCCGCCGTTGTTGTGTAGGCGCTTATATTATAAATTCGTCACCGTTTTCCGGCGAGAAACTAATGTTACTTTTACCGTTTTCTGCTGTGCTAACTTGCTAACTGTGGTTCAATTTCTCGTTAGATTTTTCGTTTCAAAACCTTGTTATTCGATTATTAATCTACCCCTGGAAAATCTAGGTCCTATCAAAATAAGATATTATTCTAAAATATTTAAATATGTTTTTCGTGTGAATCGATTGATGTAGGAAAATATAAGGAAAATCCGATTATTTTTCAATCAAAAATATAATATATTTGTTTAAAAACTGCCGGAGGAGACATTCGTAGTATTCAAACATACTGTTAGATTTCGACAGGTTTTTGTTGTATTGTTAGTTTCTGATTCATTTGAGAATGGTAATATGACGTGGTACCATGGTAGTTTAAACAATTTCGGTCCTGTTTAGTTTTACTTAGTCTGTTCGATATGTGCATATCTTATCTTAATCAATTGGATAATAGGTAATTATAATTCCTTTTGTTACTTCCGCTGTTAATACTAGTGATAAACATAATATTATCGTTACTGTTAGAAGCTGTGTTATTATAAATTTATTTATACATTATTTAAACTATAATAGACGCGTATTATGCGTTAATAATTTTTTTTATTCAACACTATTTTACGGTATCGCTTTTTTTGATATATTCTCGTGATAATATGTTATGTTAATAACTAAAATGTTACCAGTAAAATCAAAAAGTAATCAAATTGACAAAATACCTGTGTCGTTTATACCAAAAACATTTTTAATTGATAATATGTACCAATAGTAAATTATTTGACAAAAGTTTTATCTTATTATGTTGTTTCAACTTAAATTTTTTTATTGTTTTTTAAGGTCATGTATTATACTTATTGAAATAAAATAGTTAATATGTTATATGTATGTCGCTAGTATTATAACATTATGATTTAAGTATGCTGGGATAGGTTATAAAATATAACATATAACATCTAAATAAATATTATCATTAAATGTTGTGTATTTGATATTTTTCTATGTTGCCTATAATTTTTGTTATACTGACAAAAATTACACAATTAATCAGATATATACTTCCCTATAATACAATTCTGTTTGAACTAATACAGGTATATTTAAAATTAAACTTATTTACTTTGAATTGGTATTTTTTATTCTGTGATTTGCAGTGAGAAGATATTTAAACATGAAAAGCATTGCTCCTATTATATATCCTTTTGTTTTGATTAACGATTGCGGACTACGTTTGAATGTTTGTAAATATAATGTTGGGTAATAAAAAAAGACTCGATAGATATTCTACTTGAATTAAAAAAAAACAAAAACAAAAGTCTTCTGAAAACATTTCTAAATTCATCCACGTGTTGTACATTTATTTATCATCAAATAATTAAATAGTTTTACCAACAAAAAAATTAAGAGAACGTCTTGCCAGTCATGAACCATTTGAATTCAAATTTGATGTATAACAAAGTAACAAACCAAATAACATCTGTTTTTTTTTTAAATTTAAAACTATTTATTTTAGTGATGAGTGAATTCTGTAGTACTTACCTAATTCTTAAGATAATATTTAAATAATTATGTCTATGTGTTTCTCCAAAAATATGAAATTAATTTGTAACGAATTAAAATAAACTAGAAAATTTGTTTTTAATTTTGAATTAAATACTTCTGAAAAGTAACTGAAAATTTGCCACTTAAAGTCTTAATAAATGTCATAACATGAATAGGTACATATGCAAGCTATACCACTAAAGCGTTGAATTCTAACACATTAAGAGAAAACTTAATTATTCATAAAAATTATAATTGCCGTTTTGAATTGAATCGAATTATTATTTTAAAAAAAAGTAAGGACATACTTGGGCATTTAGATCACTGAAGTATGTATTGTTACTTCAGATTTTTTGAATTGTATTTACATATTAAGAGACGACTTTTTATTATTGTTGGTATTATGAAGATTATCATTGCAATTTACATTTATAGTATTATTTAGTTTAAATTAGTTTTAAGATGGAGAAAAAGCTTAATTGCATGTATACTATAAAACAAGTTAATTCAATACACACCTGTTGCCCGGCTTTTTTCTCGGACTCACCCCGGCGTCATAAAATATATTAACTCATTAATTTGTACGTACCTATATAAATCGTAATAATTATACACTTACAAAAAATCGAACTAAACAACGATTATGTAGTAAGTACTACACTGCTGGTACTTTATACTGAGCAATTGTTATTCATATACATATATAACTCATTCTTTATAATATCGTTAGCATACCTAACTAATTTCTAAAGCTTAGATTTGGTATAAAAATGAAAGGTAAGCTTCTCAGACATTTTTAAACTTGTCTATAAATCAATATTATTATCGTATTTAAGGTACCTAGTACAGAAATTAAATATTATATGTTGATAAATATATTATTCTATTTAATTATTTTCTTTTGTTTAAATAATTGTGTTATTATTATTTATTATTATTACAGCTGCTAGAATTACATGTTTATGCTGTTTAAAAAATTACATTATTTAAATAGTTAAATGGCATAATTATTTTCACAATCATTATTATCATTATTTAACATTCTATATTTACCTATAAAAATAACATTTCCCCATTCACACCCATCAAGTCATTTGTATCACTGTTTAAACAGTTATAACATTTTCTTTATAATAATTAATATGCGTTGTACCTATACATTGTAAATAAAACATTTATTCAATTTTTAAAAAGTCACGATTTGCAAATAATTTAAAAATATGTACCAAATACATGCCACAAGCGTATTTTTTTTTAAACTAATTATGGATGGTGTTCGTAGTCTTTAATTTTGTATAATTATTATCTTATAAAGAAGTATGCTAACTAATGTAGGTATTAATTTATGAAATAAATACACTTTTCAATTTAGATCATAGTTTTAATCTTGATCGAGTTCAACGTGTGATAGTTGTGACTGTCCAATTTTCAGTTAATTGATAAAATGCGTTTACTTCATAATACTCCCCGGGGGCTAATACATAATGTGGTTTATCTTGGTTTCTTTTTTGGCAGGGGTTGTGTCATCAACATTAGGACTTCATGGGAAGAGTGTGGCTGTCGCTGTTGACGGGTAATTTGACGGCCTCTGTAGAAAAGCATCAATTTTGTAGAGGTTTATTTAATAGCATCATTATTGATAGGTTAACTGATAAAAACGTATTATTATTATTACTATTATTATTATTATTATTATAAGGGTGTGGTATAATCTGGTATAGTAATAATTTGTTAAGATAATATATTTTTTTCAAAGATAGTTTATCTGTTTCAGTAATTCATGTTCAAGTATGTATTATTATGTGCGATTCATAACTATGTAAATAACACACAGGTATAAACGAATTTCCGTCATCTCTGGTTTAGGGTGTGTCAAATTTGTGAAAAAAAGAGTAAATAGAGTGTAAAACAATTTTTTTAATTTAGGAAAATATACGTACCTATGCGTATCTAATTTAGTAAAAGAAAACCCAACGCGGGAATGGAGAATCGTTAAAAAACTATTTTCTCTCATTCGTATATACGGGTCAATGGCCGCCACCCTCTTTGTGTGCACCGTTCTCCTCGTCATCACATATACAATTATTATATTATCCTCACCAAATTTTCATAAACGTGGTTATACGGCAACAATAATGCAATACAAGTAATTCTGTTTTTTCTTAAGTTCTCCCGTGATTTTTAATCAGTTTAAATTATCATATAATCTAAAAAAAATCGGTTGTTGTTTTCGTTTATGCGAATTTCAAAAAATTGGGTGTAGTCGAAGGTATGCTAACATTGTATTATATAGTATTAAACAAATCATATACGATCAAACAGTTCGAAGGAACAGAAATTGTTAGCTGTAGGCGACAGCTGGTAAAATCTCAAACTTCTGTAGTCGGGTCTTAGTTTACACGAACTTTATTACTACCATAACTTTCTAATTCGAATACACGTATTTTATGATTATGATATTTTATTATTATAATATTATAAATGGGGAAAATAAGGTATAATAAAATTTAAATTAAAAATATTAAGATTATCTGTATGCATAAAAATAGAAAAAATAACTACAAGCTTATACAAAATAAGTTAATATACCAATAACAATAACTTATTGTGTTACTCATAGTATGCTCATTAAAGTAAATATCATAATTCATAATAAAATCATACAAACCGAAGTATAGAATGTTTATTATTATTGGTTATTCATTGATAATACCAATATACATTACAAAACTAACTCTGTATAATCGATGATACTAGCTATTAGCTGATAGCTAATAAAATGTGAATACAGTGAATAAAATTATTCTAGCAGATAGCATACGGTACGGCTACCTACCGACATTTGTTTACTCAAACCTTTATTTAAATTTCAAAAAACCACTCCTTCTTGAGTGCAGAACGAGCGAAGAGTTTTATTGGAATCGTGATTTCGTTATATTTCTTGTCTTTCAGGCAATGGTTATTTGTCCGTAAAACCGTTTATCGTGTTTACAAATCCGTCTGTACCCCATTAAACTTCGTGTAACTTTGCTTTTGTGTACAAGTTCAATCGTGAACATTTTAATTGTT